AAAAAAAAAAAAAAAAAAAAAAAAAAAAAAAAAAGCGAGACTCCGTCTCAAAAAAAGAAAAGAGCAATGATGCATGGATAATTTTGCAAATAAAATTCTTAGTTAAAAAAAATCTACAACCTATACTTTCACGCAGAACCCTCTGTTTAAGAATGTGACTGTTGTGCCCAGAGAGTAACAGAATGGCCTCCAGGGATTTGAAAATTGGAATCACCTTCCTTTTGCAGATTGTCATTGGAATCGTGGGGAATCTCTCCCTCTTGGGTTATTATATCTGCCTTTACTTCAGTGGATGCAGGTCAAGAACCATAGATGTGACCCTCAGGCTCCTGACTGTAGCCAACTCCTTGGTCATTCTCTCCAAAGGAATCCCAGAGACCATGGCAGCTTTTGGGTTGGAATTCTTCTTCAGCTATTTTGGATGCAAACTTGTTTACTCTGTGCACAGGGTGGGTAAGGGGGTGTCCTTTGGCAGCACCTGCCTGCCGGGCGTCTTCCAGGCCATCACCGTCAGCTCCTGGAACTCCAGCTGGGCAGAGCTCAAAGTAAAAGCTCCTAGACACGTGGGCACCTCCAGGATTCTCTGCTGGGTCCTGCACTTGACGGTCAATCTCTTTTTTCCTGCGAAGGTGACTGGCAAATGGAAAAACACGAACATCACAAAAGTAAGATATTTTGCATACTGTTTTTTTCCGCTTCATGAGAAAGCCTTACACAGATTATCTGCTGCAGTGATCTCCATCCCTGATGTGTGTGTCTGGGGCTCATGTTCTGGGCCAGCTGCTCCATGGTTTTTGTCCCGTGCAGGCACAAGCAGTGGCTTCAGCACATCCACAGGAGCGATCTCTCCCTGAGAGCCTCCCCTGAGACCAGAGCAACCCAAGGTATCCTTCTCCTGGTGGGCACCTTTGTATTTCTCTACACTCTTTCCTGCATCTTGCAAGGGTGTTTTGTGTTTTTTTCATCATTCAAGCAGGTTGCTGCTGACTGTCTGTGCCTTAATCAATGCATGGTTCCCAATTGTCTGCCCCTTTGTGCTCATGAGCCATGAACAGTGTCTCTAGAACCTACTGTGTTTTCATGGTGGATGGAGCCCACAGTCACCCAATCTCATCATCAAAAACATGCATGTTGTTTCTTTCTTTCTTTTACTCTTTTGAGACAGAGTTTTATTCTTGTTACCCAGGCTGGGGTGCAGTGGGCGAGATCTTGGCTCACTACAACCTCTGCCCCCCCGGGTTCAAGCAATTCTCCTGCCTCAGCCTCCCGAGCAGCTGGGACTACAGGCACGCACCACCACAGCTGGCTAATTTTGTATTTTTAGTAGAGACAGGGTTTCACTGTGTTGGTCAGGACGGTCTCGATCTCTTGACCTTAAGTGATCCACCTTCCTCGGCCTCCCAAAGTGCTGGGATTACAGGTGTGAGTCACTGTGCCAGGCCTAAAACATTTGTTTCTGGTTTTGACTGTGTTCAGTCCATGCACTCAGCCTGTGCCATATTCCCTGAAGATGCAGAGGGTGCATAATTAGCTCTGCCCTGCTACTCAAAGTCTCCTCTTCCTGACTTGGCTGAAATGAACCCCTGCCCCTCCCCTATCCTCGCCAGCACCTCAGATATTCTCAGCCAGAAACTCCCGAAACCCTCCTCTGGCTTTCAGTATCATAGCCCAGTAGGAGGGTATGACTATCTCCCTAGGAACTGTGTTCATGTCCCGGCGGAGTCTCCACTGAAGCTTTTAGTAAAATGCTCCTGCATGGGCTTCATGTTGGAGTTGGATGAATAATGACAACACCGGCTAATAACCAGAGCACAGAGACATGAAACGTGAGGCAAAGAAAGCTGCTGAATTCTAACTGTAAAACTTTGGGCCAGGAGGCTGAGGCAGGAAAATCACTTGAACCCAGGAGGCGGAGGTTGCAGTGAGTACCGCACTCCAGCTTGGTTGACAGAGCAAGACTCTGTCTCAAAAAAAAAAAAAAAA